CTCTCTTAAATTCAATGTTATTGCATACATAGTACACCGTCATATGGCTTTCTTCAAACCTTTATGGTTTCATACAATATATTTCAACCTCATTAACTTAGATTGTTCAGCATTGTTTAATAAGAGAAACTGATGGTTTCCACAATCACGCGTCAAAAACTAAAATCAATTCTATATTAAGACATATTTATCATGCAGAATGTCCTTTACTGATGTCAGCAGAGGCGGCCCAAGCTCACATCTCGAGATTAGGCAAACGATTAGTTCATGAAAGCGTCACGCGTTGTGTGACTCGATGTTAAGTTGCGAGAGTTGTACATGTTAAAAGGTGTGGTGTGGTGAACCACATATGGTCGATTCGAAGCTATAAAAGTGTGACGTGCAAAATCGAATTAGATTCACTGCGGAGTAAACTGCTGATCGGTTTTCCAAATCAGTTCATGAAAAGTTGATTATCGCGCACAGATAGCTTACCGTTTAAAGAAAGCAGCTTTAGTTTTACTGGTGGGGATCTTGTAATGAAATTCTAATTTTCGAAACGGATGGACACAGAAGCTTGACGTTTCCTGTTAAAAAGGAATGAAATATGTTATTTTTACATGTTCAATTCCATCATTGGTCATTAAAGTGTGACGTACAAAACCGAAATTCATTCACTTGAGTTGGAACGCTCAAATCCTCCTAGCAAATGCTAACTCGCTCTCCATATCTCCCTCTCATTAATTCTCCCTTAGTATTCGATTTCCGTTTTGAATTTTCGAAAGTCGCATGAAAACTGGGCAGTTTAACTCTCACTACATGATCTTCTGCAAGATTGGAGATACATTTCTTATTGGTATTAACATTTTGTGAAATGAGAATCATTAGTTCACGTCTCGTACATAGTTAATCGCTTTAGGGAAAAAAACATACCATTTTGATCCTTTACTTGATCGTATTTGATAATTGATCAGTTCCTATTCTCAGTGACTTTGTTAAATACTTTTGATCACAGTTTTCATTTTTCCTAATCACAAATTGGCAGCAACAGTGTTTGATAGAGGGTCTTAATAAGATTTTTGTGAGCCGTTAGGCGTAAAACTTGACAAATTTTAACCTTAGCTCGTAAAAGAGTTAACGGTAAAAACATTTCTAGTGGCAACAATGGAAAGATATTAACCGTTAGCCGTAAAAGCCATGCCAACACTCTTTTACGACCCTCTTGATACTTAGAGGGGGCATGCAAGGGGTTCATCGGGAGATTTTGCCCCCTATCCCACAATTCACGATAGTAAAACATTCTGGCCAGAATGCCCTTAAATTCAAATATGACACAACCAAAAACCCCCCACCCCTCCCATTTGAAAAATGTTCCCAACGCCTCAGATTCTAATAAATAGGAAATAGCTTGTGAAATATCTTTAGTGTCAGCTGCATACGATAGCAAAAAGTTACGGTAGGAATCTTTTTATTGTCAGTTACTTACCACTGATCTAAGACGTCATATACTTCAAGAGGGTCTCAATGGGATTAACCGATAACCATGAAACGGCCACAAAAAAATCTAACCGTTAAGCGTACAAATCGTCAAATTTTAACCTTTATTCGTAAAAAAAATTAAACCTCAAAAAAAAATTTCTGGTAACAAATTATGAATTGAGTTGTTAAAGATTTCTGGTAACAACTCATGGAATGATGTTAACCGTTACTAGTAAAATGGCCAAAATTTTAACCGTAAGCCGTAAAAGCCATCACCCCATTGAGACCCTCCCTCTACTACAGTGCGCCCATAATTCTCAAATGTGACTTGTTTGGCTTTTACCGTGTAGCCTTGGAAAACGAAATTTCCCCGAATTTGGAGAAATCAGGTAATGTTGACACAAATACTAAATTAAATGGGAAGCAAGCTTGTCAAGCTTGCAATTGTTTGTTATTTTTCAAAGACAAGAAGAACCTAAGCCATATATCATTTTTATCATTCAAATGATCGCTGGGTGTTAGTGCCCTCTAGTTGCAAGTTTCTTGCGCTTGTCTCAGGTAAAGAGGAAACAAAAAGGTTGAACAGCGCGAATTGCCGTTGGGAGTTTTCAGGAAAGTCCCTTCCGGATGCGCGGATCTTACAACGTAACTGTAGTCAAGTCCATTTCCCCCACCTCTCTCCCCTCCTCAAAAAAAAAAAAACTATTAAGTAAAACTATTGATTATTACTGAAAGTCAAGCTACCTCCTCATTTACTTGTTGTCATATTTCAGTCATTGGATTAACGCCTTCAAAGGTAAGACCAGTGATGTGGTTATGTTCGAGCAAATTACAGATCCATTCCGTCCGTTTTCTTTTCTTTTTTTTTATCTATTATATCAGTTACTATTTTTGTCTTCGATCATGCAAATCACACCCGCAAGAAAATGAAAAGTTCATGTGTACAGTGGGTCAGTTTTCACGCACAGATAGCTTACTGTTTAAAGACCGAAGCTTTAGTTGTCGCTCAATCTTATCGATCTCGTGATGCAAATCCTAACGTACTAAAAGGGATCAACACTGAAGCCTGACGTTTTCGGATAAACAAAGTAAGATGTGTCATTTTTGGATGCTCAAATCCATCATTAGTTAGAATAGTGTGACGTGCCAAACCAAAGTAAAGGCACTAAGTTTTGTTGGTATTTTTGGCTTCGATCATGCAAATCACACCCGCTAGAAAATGAAAAGTTCACGAAGGCAATGAGTTCATTATCACGCAAAGATAGCTTAGCGTTAAAAAAAAAGAAACTTAGGTTGTGCTGTGATCTATCTTGTGATGAAAATCAAACCTTTCAAAGGGGTAAACACTAAAGCCTGACATTTCCTATTAAATAAAAGAATAACTCTTCTCATTTTCCATGTTCAACTACATCATGAGCGATAAAAGTGTGACGTACAAAACCGAAATACTGTGTTCTTATTGATTGAGTTGAAGGGCCGGAAGGAAAATTAGGTCAATAAGCATTTTAACATATGACCACTAACCGTTTTCAATATGCAATTTTATTTCGAGTAGCCTAGAGAGGGGACGGGAATAACCTAAAACACACGAGACCTAGATACCTAGATACCTAAAACACTCCGACAGCGGAAGTTGAAGGTTGTGAAAAGTCCTGAGTGTAATTCATTATTTTTATTGTTTCATTTTCAAAGCATCAGCCACATTGTCAACATCTTGGTTAGCGCGATTGAAAATCTTTCCTAGTCACTCGATTATTATCAGCTTTAGTTATTTAGTAACTGTAGAGAGATAAGGCTCTTATGGCAGAGCCTAGTAGCTGCTTTTTCGAGCTTTGTTTTTGCAATATGTAGTTATGTCTTGTTTCGAGCGTTAGCCCTTTATTAAAGCGGTTGATGGCGCGATTGAATCGCCACCACAGTGAAATAAATTCGTTATTAAGCGGTTTTCTTAAATCTCTGTATCTTTATACAGTATAATTTATCCTCATTAACTAATGTTATTGAGTATCGTTCAATTTGAGAAATTGATGATCATAAAACTAAAATCAGACCTCTATTTATGTTGCGGAATGTCCCTCGTTGAAGGAAATCCGTGGTGCTTGATCACGTGGTTTTCCAGTGGCTATGACTCTACATCAGCTATCAACTTGAATCTGTTTAGGAGGGTTGAACGAACGATTCAGAGATCGCGCTAGATTCGAAATGCCGTATTTTTACTTGTACACAAGCGTTTCATTGTCGAGATACCCTTCTCTTAAACCTTTGGATACTTAGATTATTATTAGAATTTCAGATAAAGGTTTACAAATGTTTTGAGATGTCAAAAAAAAAAAAAAAAAAAAAACAGAATCCGGTTAACTTTACTGAATTCGTTTTACTCAAAAGCCTTACGTAGGTCAATATTGTTTCGTGCTTATTATATCAGAATATAATTTTTGCGTGAAAAACAAAAAAATTGTTGAGTACATAACCATTACCTCCTCCTGAGAATATTAGTAAAGAAAGCACCAAAAATTGGAATAAATCTCCCCTAACCTGGGATAGCTCTTTTTTTCAATGTCGATGAAATACCGGATAGAGTATTTTCTCTACTTAGGGACTTGTCAGAAATTAGCAGGGGGGAGGGGGGTTGGGAATTTTAAATTTGGGTTCGGAAATTAGGTGACCCATCCCTGCAATGGGAGTGAAATTTGCTAATCCTCCCCTTGAGCTTGGCCTAAAATATCATGACCCTCCCCCTCTTGTATAAATGATAAAATCTAGTTCAACATTATTCATAATTTCAATAAGACTATATAGCATTGTTATAAATGAAAAGTACATATTTGCTAAATTCTTGCTATAGTACTTCACAGTTTATATCCATAACGTTCCGTAAACCGTTGTATTTTTCTCTTTTTTTTGCCAAATAAAGAACTTCCTTTTTCTTCTGTGGGTGAACCTCTACATGATCACGGGCATATATTTGCATGACCCTCCCCCTTTTAACTGCCCATTTTTCATGACCCCTCCCTTTTCTGAGGCTCAAAAAGTTGTGACCCCCCCTCTGTTTCCACCCCCCCTCCCCCCCTGCTAATTTCTGACAAGTCCCTTATTTCTATTTAATTTATCCATCTAAAAGTCTTTTAACTCTGTTCCCTTCGAGTTCTTGTCATTATTTACTCTGTCGGGGTCTTTCTTCCTGTAAGAAAAAATTTGAAATAACCCAATTTATTATTACCTCAATTAATATTTTGGATATAAAGCAAATACCATTATACCAAGCACAATATGTAAAAATAAGTGGCTATTACTTGTATCTCATTGGTAGAGAGGCACCTGTGAGATTCTATATTTTACACTAGAGAGCGAAGATAGAAACTCTCCCAAAAGGAAAAAAAAGTGTGTGTAGATATACATATATATATCTTTATATATATATATATATATATATATATATATAGATAAAGATAAAGATATACATTAAACTAGCCTGATGCTCAAGGTAACAAAGGATCCCCATCCAGTCAACGACCAATAATTCATAGCAATCTAACTTTAATTTATGAAATACCTGTTCTCACTGAGTCTTGCCGCTGCTTGTCAAACTCGAGTCTCACATCATCTCCAATCAGCGTAAACGACGCCCACTCAGACATTTTGTTCAAGCCGTTTTTTCTCATCCACTTCATGGCCTGATGAAGGGATTCACTGGCACTTTCTCCTTCAATGAGGTGTTCGTGGAACCGACCCATCAGCTTCTCTGTAGTTGAGTCTGGAATGGTCCACAGCGCTACCAATACAGAGCGAGCACCAGATCCTAAGAACGCACGGGCAATTCCTATAACTCCTTCGGCTCTTATCTCTCCACTTCCACTGTGACAGCAGCTAAGTACCACCAGTTTAGCTCTGACTTTCACTCGTGAGACATCAGCCATCGTCAACATGTAAGCTTCCTTCGGTGGGATAGCGTTTCCACTGTTGGGAGTAGGAATGGGGAAGAGTGCAATTTCTCCTCTTTCCGCGTTACCATGGGCAGCAAAGTGTATCAAGCTCACTGAACTTATCCGCTCAAGTACCGCCTGCTTCGTTGCTTTCTCTTCAACTAGAGGTGGAACACCCACCAGTCGTCCGACCATCTCCGCTTCCTTTCTTGCACCTGGCAATGGTTGCAGCCCATCAACCTTGGGATTGCCTATAATCAAGGCACCAGTGTTGCTGTGATAGTCCTCTGGACTATCTTGAATGATCTTTAGCGTCGTCAAAGAAGGAATGACACGGATCTTATGAGTCTCCGATAGGTATTCGGCTCCCTCCTTTTCACTCAGGGCAGCAAAAGAAACTTTGTACAACCTGCGGTCAGGAACAATAATGACTTCAGGCTCCTCGAGAAAATCATTAACGGGAGCAATAAACATTTTGTAACACAAAGATAGACTTGAAATCACTTTTTCGTCCACGTCCTCGTCTTCGTCCTCCTCCACGAGTCGCAATCTTGCTGAGCTCTTTTGTGCGGGGGAGAGAGGTTGCAGTTTAATCGTATTTAAAGACCGATCTTCACAATCTTTAGTAGGCAAAATACCAAGACTCTGGAAATTATCATCCAAAAATTGACTCAAAGACAATTCTTTGGGCAACCCAGCTTGAACTAGATTCTCTTCTGGTGATACTCTTCTATAGTGAAGGACTCCACTTGTTTTCAAGATCCACAAATGCAGACGATTCTGAAAATAAGAAATGTACAGACAAGTACAGTTATTTTTCTTTCTTAAAATGTTCTCAATGCCAACCCAAGATTGTGGATTAGTAGAGATGTGCGTTTCAACCGAGTACTTCTCTGCCATTAAGTCTGATAGGCCTCTAGCTCGACCCAACTCCTCAGCATAAAGAGCATCCCGAGCATTTCCGGTGTCACAAAGCAAAGTACAAAGCAGCTTGTAGGGGAACATTCCTGTGTGCTCCAGAAATGATGCTTTGAACTGATCATTGGCGCCCAAGAAATATCTCAGCTCCTCATACTTTTTAATGCACAGATAAAGACACGACAAGGAGTTTTTGATTTTATATTGATATAAATACAAAACGGCGTATTCTAGAGGGATTCTAAACTCTCTTCTTCCATCTCCAATATCTCTAAATATCACTAAAGCTTTCTCCAAGCATACTTCCGAAGCTTCAAAATCACCAACAGTTCTAAACACAATTCCAAGGTTTCCGTAGTAAGTTGCCTCCCCTTCTCTGTCGCCAATTTCAGTTGTGATGACAAGCGCTTTTTGGAGATACTCTTTAGCCTTGTCGTATTGGCCAACGGACAGAAACACAGTACCTAGGTCTCCGTAGTCAGTTGCCTCCCCTCCTCTGTCGCCAATTTCAGTTGTGATGACAAGCGCTTTTTTGGAGATACTCTTTAGCCTTGTCGTATTGGCCAAGCGACTTAAACACAGTACCTAGGTTTCCATTACATGATGCTTCTCCGCTTCTGTCGCCAATTTTGGTTGTTATGGCAAGGGCCCTCTCAACATATTCCTTTGCTTTTAGGCTTTCGCCAAGTTTAAAAAGCATAATTCCATATTCGCTGTATAAGTCAAACAGTTTCCTCCCGTATCTTTCCGCACTTATCTAGTCAGAGATATGACGAGAAGCGCTGAAAAGAATGGTATAAATGTCACTGTAAAATTGTAACAGTGCTGAATCAAATTGGTCTTTGCTGTTTTGATCGGTGCCATTTAGCAAAATCAAACATTCGCTGCATATCTCAATGGCTTTCTGAATGCGATCTGAGTTGAGCAAGAACAGGGCAACAAGTAAGGCGATGCTCATGAAAGGTGTCGTGGCTTCTGCTGTTAGGTTTCCATTGCAATCCTCTCCTGTTATCAGGGAAACATTATTTTTAGTAACACAATACTAAATGGTCGATAATCTGGATTAATAACGAGTCACTCCAAACAGGAACACACATGTTAAGTTACAAAAATGGGCTGGGTCGACTACACCCGGAAACTATTTGTTACAAGCTGAAAGTGTTAGAATTCCCAATATCCACTTAAAAACAAAAAAAAAGTGAAGAATTCGGTCGGTCACCTTTCATTTTACTCAAGTGGTGATTTTTGCAGAACATTACAAGACTTTAAAGTCATTGGACAAAGATAAACAAAACTGACAGACTTATCTTAACTTTTGCAATGATCACTTTCCACATGCATAGTTTCTATAAACAACATTAATCAATGGGGTAAGGTTTTGAAGAAACTTTGATGGGGTTTTAAAAAACTATTTGGCTTTACCAACTGAGTTGACAATGTAAATTGGCCATTGTAATGAATTTCAGCCGTCGTTTCCTTCCGTTTGAAAAATGTCACCAACCAAGTTCACTGTGCATTTGTCATGGAAAAAGCAAGTCCCATACATGAAATTTCAATTCCAATATTGGAACTGACAGTCAGTGTTATCTGCGTAAGGCTCTCCAGAATTATTCGACAAGAATTGGAAATGACAGCAGACCAAGTTTACTACTGGACTGACTCAGCTTCCGTGTTGAAGTGCATCAACTTTGTTAACTCGCAGGTAAGCAAACCGTAGAAACTAGACTCAACTTAGTGGGTTACTCTCGTAAATAGTAGCGGAGCTCGCAGAGCGTAGCCCCATAATTATGCAAAATAGTAGTAGCCCATTAATAATCTATATATTATACCATCAATAATCTATATATTATACTTTGACCTAGGTTTTTTTCTTCCTTCATCTCGTCACGTGATGTAAAAGAAACATTTTGCCCTTAGGTTGAATCATATTCCGATTTCTGTCTTTCATCTTTTTGTGAGTGAACGTTAAAAGCCAAAAATTTATTATTTACATACTCTATGTTGGAGCAGTTTGAAGATTAGCGAAAAGTCTTACAAACCTCAAAGAGAACTTAAAGATTATCCGCAAATGGGTTTAAAGGAATGACAATGGAATTAATTGTAGTTTTAAAACAGTTACGATTGGAATATAATAAATTAATGTTAAGAAAGCTTATACAGGTAATAAACAAATGGATACCAAATGACAATGGCTCAAAAAAATAAATTACTAAGAGTTTTTGTTGTAATATTCAGTTTTTTCTATCTTTGTTCACATTTTACTTAAGTGAGAGACAGTTGTGCCTGACTTAAACTACATTCATATTTGAAAATCATTTGATATCAAGCTTAGAGGTCGTTTCAAAAAGTTTCAATGTTACTAACTTCTGGTCTTTCTAATCGCATTAGAAAACTCACAAAATTTCTCTTCCCAGTGTCTCAACTTTCTTAAGGCAGATAATTAGGAAACCGGAAACAGAAAAGAAATGGGAACAGAGAATCCCTTCTTAATTGATAATGAAGCTCATTGATTCAATCAATGAAGAAGCTTGAAGAATAAGAGGCTTGGTTATATCATGTATTGTGAGGTAAGGAAGCTACCTTTTCTCAAACGAACTAAACTCCTGCCATGTGTCATAGCCTGACTCGCTGATTTATTTTTGAGGCATTATTCGCTCTGATTAAAAACAAACAAAAAAGACAAGAAAAAAAATGCAAATTCGGCTAATAAAAAATCCATGGAAATCAAAAGAAATCAATTGAAATCAGAAAGGAATAGTCTAAAATATAAGTTCTAGTTTCACCATTCTTAGTTCATCGATTTTTTTGTACCGGCTATCAAAACGTATGTGCAATGCACACCCTTTGGATCACTCTATTTTATTTCTTATTCATGAATAATACAAGAATGACTGATGAGAAAATTGCTCTAGTTTTCTTGAGAACTATTTGACAGTTTAAATAATCTAACGTCCAAAGTGTTTGTACTGGAAGTTCTCTCGCTCGATTTTATCGAAACATCGCTCTTTTGGTTCATTACCGTTTTGTTAAAGCGCAAAAGAGATAATCACAGATGTAAGTCAGTGGTAATTTTACTTTGAATACTGATTCAAAGTTAGCCTCCCACGACTTTTAAGCGTTCAAATTTGTAGCCTAAAATAATACAGATAAACCTCTAACTATAGTTCACTTGGAACTTTCCTGACATTCGGCAATATGGCAACATTTGCAAAGATTGTTCATTTTTAAAGCAATGAGCGCATTTATCAGACGAATGTCCCTGAAAACGAATATTTTCTTATCAGATGAGGATCATTAATAAGATGTGAGACCACAAAGGTTTGATATGATCGCCTTAAAAAACAAATTCATTTAACTTCTGTGGCGAATTTTACACAACGTTATAGTACTTTAAATTGACAGGACAGATATTAACCGGGAAAACAGGACTGATTCATTTCAGGCGTATGGGTTGCGGATGAACGAGGAGTACCGCCAAACTGAGATGGATCGATTATCTTCAAAACAGCAGGGGCTTCTTCAACTAAGAAGTCCTCAGCTAGTTTAGATAAAGCAGGGGTGAGCGAAATTGGTCTTAAATGCTTGCTGATGTTGGAAACCGGTTTTCTCCTTGGGAACTGGTGTTATGTTGGCTTGTTTCCATTCTCGGAGTAGCTTCTGTTCTTTCTACGAGACGTTGAGTAGGTGCGTGATAGGATGTGCGTATTCTTTCAGGATCCTATTGTCAATGCCATGAGGGCCTAGTGCTTTGGACGGGTTGAGGTTTTTTCACTTCTTTAACACAGAGCAGGTCAGTGTCAGCCAAGTTGGTGTTAAGATTTGGGTACTCATGGATTTCATCAAGAAGGGTAGAAATGTTTGATGTATCCAGTGGATTGTAGGCTCTCATTGGTGCGATCAGACTGTTGTTAATTAAATCTGCAAAGTCTTTAGATGACAGATCTTGGGTGTTGTCAATATGAAGTTGATTGAGGAGTTCGTTAGGAGCAGATGTCATACCACTTAAAGGTTTTACTTCAGACCCCCAGGTCTTTTGGTTCGTCTGTTTAAGCTTGATAAATTTGGAGGCAAAATACTTCCCTCGCCAGGATTTCCTCGTTCTGTTGACCTTGTTCCGATATAATTTGAAGATAACATTGTTCCCAGAGGAGAAAGCACGTTGGCGCAAAGTTATTAAGTGCTTCAGTTCTTCCGATATCCACGGGGGATCATTCCGGTGAATCTTCACTCATTTCTCTGGCATGAGAATGTTGTAGCCAGTCATGATTACAGAGCACACAGAAACTTGCATTTCTCGTCGCACGACGTTTCCGATTCAATCAGGTGCCAATCGATTTCGGATAGGTACCGACCAAGTTTCATTTTACGCAATGGGCAGGTGTCTCTTTTAATGACTATTTTCATGCTTGGAGTACTAGAAGATGCTCTAGTTTTCGGCCAAACTGCAACAGCACTATGGTCGTATAGGCCAAAGGCTGGTAAAAGTACGACTGGTTTTGAATCATAGAAATTATGCATGTTGTGAGCGCTAGATCCAGAATGTTAGCACCGCGGTTTGGTTGGTGGACAAGTTGTTTTAGGCGGAAATCTCGACAAAGATGTTTTGTGTCCAATTGGTTAAAGTCGCCGGCGATAATAATACCGGAACCAAGAAATAGACCTTCAGCACGCGTGATGGCATCGGACAAGTACTCCAAGATTTCAGTATCGTTAGAACTAGGTGGGTGGTAAACACATGCGGTGACGACGCAGTTAGTCCCTACTGGTAATCTTGGGGGTCTGATGTAGGGCAATAGGACTTCGAAGGCGGGATCTTCAAGCTCTTGTAGTCTCCTGGTCTTGATAGATTCTTTTATATACATGCAAACTCCTCCATGTGTACCTTGGGGAGCGATCACGCCGAAGAAGATTGCAGTTGTTTAGTGTCAAGTGATTGTCTCCAACGGATTCTCGTAACCAGGTCTCCGTAAAGAAGATGTAATCAAAGTTCTTTTGGGATATTAGGATACTAATTTTGGTCGATCTTTGGGACCAAAGACACGACGTTTGTCAATAGAACAGGACACTTGGAGCAAACTCGGTCTTGT